TGGGATAATAGCCACCAAAGATGAAATCCTGCCACTGAGAAAAGAAAACCCTGTCAGGACAACTTTCTCACCTTCAACTATTGATCAGATTTACATATTCTCCAAGTTCTGATTTGGATGTCCTGTGAAGCTTTTCTTGCCTTCCCTTCTGCCTTGGCAGAGTTGAGGCACTTTGATCATTCTCTTCCAGACTCTGGGTTTTATTGATCTGTTTAATGCCTTACTCTTCCACCCTGGTGAACTCCTTCAGTCCAGCTTGTCTTATTCATCCCTCCACGCCACAGCCCGTGCAGCATCTGCATATGGGTACGCTTAATGAAAAATGGCATAATTAAATGAAAGAGTCAAGTTGACGAGGCTGATGTTAAAGGATGCTGTGGGGTGGGGTGTGAAACTTGGGCTGTGGGGTGGGAAGAAGACATCATTGTATACCCTGGTTAGGGAGAAATTTTGCCCTGTACATGCATTTAAAAATCAACAGAAACAACAACCTAATTAAGAAAGGGAGATAACTAGGGGTCAGATCTATCTATTAATAAAATAAATTTGAATTTTTAAAAAAATGGGAATTAAAGTTCATGGATGCATGGGAATTTTTAAATTGTCTTATTTTTTCCCTAAACTATATTACTGCATCTCATACATTTAACAGCAATCTTGTATTCAGTTTCAACTCTGATTTAAAGTGGTAAAACAGAATTTTAAAATTCCCTCAAGAAATAAACCCTTACCTGGTTAAGCTTTATGTTAAGTAATGTTTATATTTGTCCACTGACCTGTTCTTACTGAAAGACTCTTGTTAAGAGAAGCCCTTTAACCCTGACTTTCTCAAACTTGCCTTAAGCAATGACTCCTTTGAAAGGAAACATAAGGAATGTATTTTTCATGTTACTTAAATTGTGTAGTTATGAAACTAGATATACAATTTTTGTTTTTGGCTCATTTACAACTATAAACCAAGCCTGCAAATTAAATACAAAGACAACTACAAAACTAACAAATTTCAAATTAATACAATTATTCAGTGGGACGGATGATGTTTAGGTTTCACAGTAGGAAAAAAATAGCCTTAGGTCTATCTGTTTCTGTATTTTAACTTCAGTGATACTAAAAGCTTCAAGTACCCATCTCCATAAGTAATGTTGTACAAGGTGCTATTAATGACTTCAAGCTTTGTTTGCATGTTCAGGATAGTCAGACCTCGTATCTAACCAAAACACTTGCCAGCAAGCATTCCTCAGATACCAATTTCTGAAGGCAGACGCCTAACAACTGAGCCACCCAGGCACCCCCCTCAAATACTGATTTTAATGAGATGTCAGCTGTGGTGTTCATTTGAAGATGAGGTTAACGTTCTGTCATTACTGAAGTCTTTATTAAATGGTTCTCTACGCTACCTCATGCTGGAAGTGAGAATGGAAAAATGTCTTTGGATACTTCCAACCACATTTACTTCTAATGAACTTTTGCAATTGTACTACAAAGATAGGATCCATGTAATACTTGTATCATTTATATGGTATTAACTGTTAAGACTATTGGCTTTGGATATACCATGCCTGTCTTGTCATATGCTCTGATGATTCTAGTTTCCTGTATTTTTCACTGTTGGTTACAGTTACTGTGAGAGCTTTGCTTGTACAGTGTGCCCTCAGGACATTTGGCCTGAAGGAGATTTTAACACAACTGAAGAAGCATCAGTGAAAGCCTTCTGACAGTACTTGTTTAGATTGTGGTTACTTATGGTTGAGCATTTTTATCATTAATTTTAGATTATCTTTTAAATGAAAACATTAACAAAATTTTGTACAAAATTCTTAGATTCCCCTTCTCCAAACATACTTCTAACCTCCTGTTTGGGAAACACTGTTTTAGCATATATTTTTATGATCACTAAGAGTCCAGGATTCAATGGTGGGAAAATAAATTTTAAAAAAACTTGGCCCTTCTTAGTGTAATGAGAGACATTTTAACAGCAAACTATATATAGATTTGTTCTATCTTAAAGGTATACAGAGAGGACTGTGGGAACATATTATAAGGACCTGCCAACTTATCTTAAGAGTAGGGGAGAGTTTAGAGCCTATCATGGAAAAGATCTTGTTTGAATAGGGTCTTAAAGGATGAGAGGTGGTTTAAACTAGGCAGAGAGAATATGTGTAAAGACCGTGGTCATGAAAGACATGATTGTTATAATGGTGAGGAGCATGTGGGCCCTAGACTGAATTTGTAATGTGAGTGGTAAGTTGAACCCCAAAAGTAAAGGTCTTGTTAGACCAAGTGTTTAGGTCTCATTTCATATATAGGTCTCATTCCATATATGCTCAGGGAGAAGATGAAGATCTTAGAACTGAGAGAGTATTCATGGCAGTATTTTTTTAAATACAGCAATTACCACATTGGATTATGGTGTTCTCTTTCTGTAGGCCTTGGAGCTCTTCAAGGGCTGTGACCATGAATTATCAATCTTTGTACACTAAGCTTTTGGTACAGTAACTGATAAAGCTAATGGTTAGAAAATATTGGTTGAGTGACTGACCATGAGTAAAGGGGATTCAGGAGAGAATGATGATAATCTCCTATGGTGGTGGTTTTAATTTGTGGGCGGTAGACCCCTTTGTGATTCTCTTGAAAGCTATGAACCTCCAAAATGGAAATACATACAACATTTGACAGTTTCATGGCATTCATGTATCCCTGAAACCAGTCCATGGGTTTCTTATTCAGAATTCCTCCTTAGGAAATTGAACCTATAATCACCCCTATACCTCACCATGAATAACCACCATCTCTTTTATTAATCTTTAAATGTTAATATGATTTCACTCATGTGGAATTTAACAAACAAAACAGATGAACATAGGGGAAGGGAAGGAAAAATAAAATAAGATGAAAACAGGGAGGCAAACCACAAGAGACTGTCTAACTCTGAAAAAAAAGCTGAGGGTTGCTGGAGGGAAGGTGGGTGGGGGAACTGGGTAATTGAGTGATGGGCATTAAGGAGGACACTTGATGTAATGAGCACTGGGTGTTATTGCAACTGATGAATCACTAAATTGTACCTCTGAAACTAATACACTATATGTTAACTAAATTGAATTTAAATAACAAATTTTTAAAAATAAAAAAAATAATTTTTAAATGTTAGACTATGATTGTGTCTCTTTAAATACTCTTTGAGTTCTTATGTTTGGGAGGAGTTAATTCAAATAGTTGAACCATCTCAGAAGAAAGAATTTTTATAATGATTAAGGTAAAACTTTGCTGGTCTGTAAAGGTAATAAACAAGTATATTAATTAAGCCAGCAACCAAAAAGCACTTGCTTGAGGGGATCCTGACATTCCAGGTTTGGGTTTAGCAAGTGAGTCGAGGTCCCCAAGACCATCCTCAGGCTGTGAGTGATTTGCTAGAAGGACTCATAGGACTCAGAAAAGCTGCTGTACTCATGGTTATTGCTTACTACATTGGGAAAGATACATATTAAATCATCAAAAGGAAAAGGCACATGGGGCAACTCCCAGGAGAAACCAGATGCCAGCTTCCAGGTGTCCTCGGCTAGTGCAGTAGTACAGGTGCATGCCATATAGCTCAGCAATGGTGTGACAGCACGTGCACAGTGTTGCCAGCCTGGGAAGTTCAGCAGAGCCTTGGTGTCCGGGGTTTTTATTGGGGCTCAGTCATACAGGCTTGTAGCATTCTTACCAGGGAGAATATTTTAAGGGCTCAGAGCTCATTTCCTAGGGATTGGCCAGGGGCCAGGCCTGAAGACAGGTCTTTCTTGGGAGTGTGCAGGGTTTGAGCAACTCAAGTTGGCCAGCAAGTTAGCTGTGCAGAGTTAGCTTTCTTCTGGCCTGCCTGCCTAGCTATTCTTTTTCTAGATATACAGTTTCTGTGGACCTCCTTGGCCTCACCATAAGTAGCCATTCTACATACTGCATACCTGGACTGTAACTTTTTCCTCTCCAACAAGTAATTGGCAAGTTTGTTTGGACTTAAGGACATATCTGTGTTTTGCAGTTTCATGAGTTTGTAGTGAAATACAAGTATCCATTCCGTCATTCACTTAACAAAAATCATTTTTGAATGCTGGTATGTACTAGGCCTAGTGTTAAATATGGATTTAAGAAATGATTACTATGGATCTCTGCCCTCAATGAGCTTATAGTTTCGTAGGGAAGAGAAAAAATTAGCAATCTGGTAAGCGGTGTGTGCTTTGGGCAGCATTTAACCTCATTGGAGAGCATGGTAGAGGGTGTGTGTGTCTGTGTATATGGGAAGGTATTGGTAATTAGGGGAAGACTTCCCTAAAGGAGTCACCTCTCGAGTTGAGCCAGAAAGACCAAAAGATAGAAGTGGGCATGGAGCTAGTGTTTCTCCAGTCTATGGTTGGGTGTGTGATTGGAGCATTTATGTATTACTGGTGCAGTCTCCTTGGCTTACTGAGCAAGTACACTAATCCTAGCTAGAAGATATATGTCTTTCTTAGGGTTTGCATAAGAGGAAAGAGTGTCTGGCTTAATACAAATCTATTTCCATTTTACTCCGTTGCCATAAATCCACCCAAATGACATTTCCAATCTACCATGAGTAGGTAGAAGTATTTTCACACATTGCTTCCCAATGGGGGACTATGTGAATATATAGCTTTGAGCTGTTAAGAATAACAATTAAAAATTTAAATGTACTGTTTCAAATGGGAGGGCAAATGCTTGCCTTAACTTAATGAAATTACTTGTAAGAATTTGTCTATACTTGGAAGCAAAAAAGTTTTCGAAAAAAACGTGGGTCCAGATTTTATCATATTTGGCTCCTACGTATGTGTGGTTCTCAACAGATTTTGGGACTTCTGAGAGTAGTAAGAGTTTTGTTTTTTGAACAGTGCGAAGAAATTGTATGATTATAATAGGATCAGGAATGTATTATTTTAGTGAATATGGGATAATTTCAAATTGTTAACCTGGAGAATTTTTTCTAATAGAATCTTGTTCTCTTTTTCCAGCATTACAGTGTTTCTGCCACCTTTGTACAAAAGACAATTTTACTTGTGTGACAGATGGGCTCTGCTTTGTCTCTGTCACAGAGACCACAGACAAAGTTATACACAATAGCATGTGTATAGCTGAAATTGACCTAATTCCTCGAGACAGACCATTTGTATGTGCACCGTCTTCAAAAACTGGGTCTGTTACTACAACCTATTGCTGCAACCAGGACCACTGCAATAAAATAGAACTCCCAACTGTTGGTAAGTTGTTGTATAAGATTTTGTTTTTTAATACTACAAGAAAAGCTGATTCTGACTATGGTTTTAGAACTGGAAGGGATCTTAGAACTTCGTCTACCCTAGCTCATTCAGTTCCGAGGCAAGAAGGAACCTGTCCATAGTTGTAGAGTTACAGGAGTAGCCAAGATCCTGACTTCTGGGTATGTGTTGTTTGACAACGTGGTTCCAATAAGACTTTCTCTGAGGTCCGCTAGGCCTAAAGTCTAGCTTCTTTAAAGGGGAATTCTGACAAAGCTGCCATAGCAGTATGTCCTCAGGGGGTCCCTACTTTGTCCTCCGAGTGGATTTATTTTCCTTATATAATGCTCCAGCCTTTTAAAGCAATTGATAATGGGCAGGAATTGAGAGCAGCACTAAACAGTCCAGATGCCTTCATTTTGTAATGTAACCTTGCTTTATGATCTTTATGTATAAATCATTATATGTGATTTCTAGATTTTGGTCCGTTCGCCATAGTTTACATTTTACAATGTCCTGGCAGAGCCAGGAATTTGAAGGCTTTATACACTCTTAGGATTAGTTTAATTTTCAGGTTCTGGTTTAAGATGTTAGTCTGAGCACATGTATTTAACTCCTCCATCACCTTCCTCAAATCCCAAATTTCTGCTGTCATAATCAAAGGAATATAAAAATGCGGGAAATCTGTATTCATGCTAGCCGAATTGATGGAAGAACACCACCCTCATGCCTGCGCTTGTGAGAAACTTCTGTAATTTGTAGTGCAGATAACTTCAGACTAGTGAAGTTTGACTACCCATATGAAAAGAAGTAAGTGAAAGGACCTCTTACAAAATCCCACCAAACCTTAACCTGAGGGGTTTGGGGTGAGAAGGTTACAGGAGCAAACGCTCATTCTCCTTTAGGAAGAAGCACCTGGTTTCATTGCTCAGGGAGGCAGACCAGAGTGCTCACTCTCCACTCACAGTTGATCCAGGCATCATGCTAACTGAAGTAGGAAGCACTGCCGTGGTTGAGCAGAAAAGGGCCACCAGTCCTGCAGGCTACAGAGGGAGGCAGTCCTCCTCTTCATTCAAGTGATAACAGCAAAGTGAAACCAGATCTTCAGCATTATAGGGAAGCTTCCCCATGGCAAGTTTCAAATGACTAATTTTTCTGACTTCTGTTTAGGGTATCTGCAATTCTAATATGACAAGGAAAATTATAATTCCGGAATTCCCCATTTCCATTGTTTGGGCTTGAAATATCTAAATGAAGGCTTATAAAGCCTTGTGAAGCACTTACTTCATTTCTAATGCTAAACATACATAAATCCCTCATTCCCAGGTCTCTGTTAAGCAAACAGCCAAAAAGTTTTCAAATGAAAAGATTCAGTGGTTCAAAAGAAGTGAACTGAACTGGGTAAATCAGAGTAGGTGTCATCCTATGAAAAAGACTTAACCTCATGATAAGGAAGAACTTTCAGACAGTCCAAAGTTCATTTTCAGTTAAAGATCACTTTTAGATGAAAAGCTCACTTGGGCGCCTGGGTGGCTCAGTCGTTAAGCGTCTGCCTTCGGCTCAGGTCATGATCCTAGGTCCTGGGATCGAGTCCCAGATCAGGCTCCCTGCTCAGCGGGAGGCCTGCTTCTCCCCCTCCCACTCCCCCTGCTTGTGTTCCTGCTCTCGCGCGCGCGCTCTCTCTGTCAAATTAATAAATAAAATCTTAAAAAAAAAAAAAAAGAAAAGCTCAATTGATGAATTATTTTTAAAAATGTAATATTGAAAGTGAGTAGCAGACTGGAGACTAATATTTTAGAGCCTAGTGTGAGACAAGCTTAAGGCAAGACAAGCTTGAGAAATTGTGTTACAATTCAGGGAGAAAAGACAGTGAGCAAATTAGGAGATGTAGAGGATAAATCTAGGTGATCCAGTATGCTTACTACAGAAATTCCAGAAAATGACATACAAGCAGACAGAAAAGAATGTGCTACCAAAATTAATGAAATTAATGAAAAAATACTTAACCAAATACATATAATTAAAAAGTGTCAGTTTCAAGAATAAAGAAAAAAATTGGTTATGCATTCAGGCCAAGGTAACACTGCTTACCTCTAAAAGAGAAAAAGTTCAGATTTTCTTCTTTTTTAAATACCAAAAGGCGGTGGAACATCGTATATTAATTGTTACCCAAAATTCTTTAGATCAGCCAAGATTTTCCATATATAAAAGCATTAGCCATCTTTAGATAATTACATATTCAGTGTATAAGGACCCATATACTCTTCTTAAAAGAAATTACTAGAATTAGGATTCTGTCATAAGAAATCCAAATAAAGATCTCAAGAATGGGAAAGTTACTTCCTTAGATGAAAGCTGAAGAGCAGAGGAAGAGTAAGTGGATGTTGACTGAGCTGGTGACCATGAAAGGGGGGCCAGTGGGTGAAGACTGGATGATTCACTTGTTCTGCATTTGAGCCTTTATGAGCTTCTGGAATGAGGTTCTCTGACTAATGGGAGTAGTGACCAAGTATAGGAAATGTGGAGGATTAGGAAATTGTGGTTGCCACCTTCAGTGTATTTGCTATTGTTGATGTTTATTTCATTTGAGGCCCTTTTTCAGGAAAGCCATCATCTGGCCTTGGTCCCGTCGAACTGGCAGCTGTCATTGCTGGACCAGTCTGCTTTGTCTGCATCTCACTCATGTTGATGGTTTATATCTGCCATAACCGTACTGTCATTCACCATCGCGTGCCAAATGAAGAGGATCCTTCCTTAGATCGCCCTTTTATTTCAGAGGGCACTACATTAAAAGATTTAATTTATGATATGACGACATCAGGTTCTGGATCAGGTAATGGAATTATTTTTCCTTTTTCCTAAGAAATCTTTTAAAAGTTAACTGGATTATTTATTTTATTAGTTGGCTAAGCCAGTTTGGCTTAGTGTGTTTTAAAACTTGGGGTAGTGTGAATACAAATTCCAACTTTAAGCCCAATAAAGATCTGACTGTGACTAGTTTAGCATAGACAAATTAGAATGTACTTTTACTGTTGAAATAAGTAAGTCAGCTTCATGTTTGTACAAATTTCAAAGCTTTCTCACCTTCTTACGACTCCATGAAATAGAAAGAATAAGGATAATTATTTTCTTATGGGTGAGGCTGAAGTTCATAGATACTCAAATGATCTGCGGCTACCCATTCTATTCAGGATTGTTTAGCAGCTTTATTTTGATATTTGAAAGCAAGCATGACAGAAAATGTGTTTGGAATTTTGAAGGTTATTTGCTTTTTTAACATATGAAATTGCTGTCTTTAGCTCAGACCTAGTTTTTTTATTAAACTAATGATTTTCTCACTTTAGAAAAATGTCTAACCACCTTATTTAATATAGCTTTATGGATTCATGGCCTCTGTGATGTTTGCTTTTCTCAGTTCCATTTGCTAATTCTTGTGGTTTCAGAAATAGACTGGTTAATTGCCAGAATCATGCCTTGAAGTGGATTTTGGTATAGCAGTGCTTCATGTTTAAACTGAAAGGGATTTATTTTTTCACCCACATGTGCTTTGAAAGGACGCTAAGAGAGAAAGACCCCTGTCCTCTACAATATTGTAATTTGACACTGGGCCAGGAATCAAGAGATCTAGATTCCAGTGCAAATTTTGTCGTTGGTTGGCTCTGACCTTGGTTAAACTGTTTTTCTTCTTTTGGGCTTCTGTTTCCTCATCACAAATATGGAACAGATCCTGAGATATACTGTCTTTTGGAAAATATAAATCAACTTCAAAGAAAGCCTAGGTTTATGGATAAAATGAAGATTTGAAAATATACATAATGGTGGCGCCTGGGTGGCTCCGTCATTTAAGCGTCTGCCTTCGGCTCAGGTCATGATCCTGGGGTCCTGGGATCAAGCCCCGCATCAGGCACCCTGCTTCTCGGGAAGCCTGCTTCTCCCTCTCCCACTCCCCCTGCTTGTGTTCCCTCTCTCGCTGTGTCTCTGTCAAATAAATAAAATCTTAAAAAAAAAGAAAAAATATACCCAATGAAAATTTCACTAATTTTATAATCAAGTTACTAAATGAACATTAAAGCAGAAGTTGTGACCAGAGGAAGAATATGACTGAAGCATGATATCACATCTGATACTGCAGAAAGTTCACACAACGACAAATGTCTGTTTATTTTAAGGAAATGAATATATATTGATTTATATGCATATCTGTTGAGTCATATAACTATGAAGAAACTGACTTCTTGGCCTGAAGTCGTCTGTTCACTTTGGCCATGTATATTCAGTAAGTGACTTCGATCCATGACACTAGGACACATATAGGCTTACACTGGAACCCAGGTCTTTCAAGGCAGCCTTTAAGGATCCCTGAGACCATTGTGAGCAGGGAGGCAGCTAGAGGTTGGATTGAGATGGAACAGCCTTGGCACTGAAGATGTGACAGTCTTTGGGCTGGAGTGGTAGAGGAGTGGAGAGAGCTTGTTTTAGGGCTTCCCCAGGGTTTCCAGTTGATTCTGAGTTAGTCCAAAGGGTTCCCAAAGGAGATCGGGCTCATTCTAGAAGTCATCCTAGAGCAAAAAAACTGTGATAAGCAAAGACCAAAGTCACAGAAAATCAGGGTGGCTACAGATCATTTGGAATTAATCCCTTGTTGCCAAACTTACACCCAGGGAAATCACAGCTGCTCATGCCACTTGGCACAGTAGTACTGTCTCATGCCTCCAGGGGAATAAACCTACCTAAAGGATTAGAAGAAATTGCTGTCTGGAAGGCGGCAGAGTTCTGAATAAGAATACATTTATTTACTTTTTAAGATACAGACATGAAGTCCAGAATGAAATCACTCTTTTTCCATTTTATCTGTATTTTTAGATACATCAGGAACCACAGCTCTGTTGTCTGAAAGCTTCTCTCTCTCTTTTTATGCCTTACCCTGCAAAAACTTGTCTACATTGTTTGCTAGCTCTGTGGCTTCGGGCAGTTAGCTGATGTCTCATGCCCAAGTTATTTTATCTTTAAAACGAAAGTAAAGAACCCTGCCCTGTGCACGTCATTGGATTGTTGTGAGGTTCAAATGAGACAAGATGTTTTGATAAATTGTAGTTCTGTCCAAATGACAGGTGTTACTCTTATTGGAAAGATATTTGGAAGAAAAATCTGACATATGGTATCAGTTTGCTGCATTGTACCAAAAAAACTTAGTTGAAGATCGCGATCTTCCTGTCATAGTTCATTATGTTCTGAATGGCCTCCAAATTTATTGAGACAGAAGCTATCTTATGTTGAATGATAGCAGAAAATGCCACCTGTTTCCCTTCTATTCATTATAAAGCCTTAATGCTGTCTCATGCATGGGACTCATGACTGTAAGTAAAATGTCTTTCTGTAATACCCTTTTGTTCTTTCGCTTATTGAGAAAAGGTAAAACTAAACATTTCATGTTATGAATTCATATATTTATTATTTAGTATCATGACCATAGTGGAGGAAAGGCCTGGTCTCTATTTCTCAAAGACTGTATCTTTAACTTGGGAACTGTGGGCAGCTCTATGCCTGAAGCTAACCTAATCCCTGTTGCATTAATTTGAATCACAGGTTGTGAGTGTGCCCTTATTTAAGCTGTCATTAGATTGTAAAGTGTGTGTGTACATGTGCACATGTGCCAGTTTTTGAAAGAGTGTGAATCTCTTAGGCCACTGTCCATTATGTCTTGTTCATGCTTATAATCTCTTATAATGTACGCAGGTTGTTCAGGTCTTATTTCTATTGTTCACTGCATGCGAAGCTGCTCAGACCCTGTTTCCCTATTGAAGTTTTTCTCTCAAGCAGTTCTAAGGATACAGAAGAGGAAAGCAGAGAACATAGAGATTTGAATTAGCCCTATTTATTTTTCTCTTTAGAAGAAAATTATTACTTTTTAAAAATGCTCATGTATTCACGTAGGTTATGGTAACTAAATATAGATAATATGATGAATCTAGATTTGGCTTTGAATTTTAGTTTGGGATCTAGAATCCAGTGATAATGGGGAGACAAAAACTTTCCTTGTCCTGGTAGCCTTTCTTGACCATATCATTTACATGGGACCTGAATGTGTTAGACATTTTCAGACTTCCCATTTGTAATTCCCCTTTCTTCTGTACTCCTTGCCTTTCTAACTTCCAGAGTAGCCTCCTGAAGTTAACTCTTAAGTGTACTTTAAATCTTGAAGTATATCATATGACCCCATTCAAAGGCTGAAAGAAAATTTTATAAATTAGTATCTATACTAAACAACACAATTAAGGATCTTCATAATATTAAAAGAGCTCCTTGATTTAAATAAGGATTTTTCACAGATCTGTTTTTAGCTAGCAGCCTCCTTATAAACATAAATAAAAACAATTGTTTATAATTAGACTGCTAGCTACTTTGCAAGAGGTGGGGAGGATAGAGAACAAGAAGACGAAAAGGACCCATTTGAGAAACTTAGAGATGAAAAGAGGAAAAACTTCTGATCACTTTAAAGACTTAACATTTGAATTTAGAAGCATTTCACATCAGGAAACCAAAGACAGCACATAATTTCATTTACTACCATTGGGTTAATTTGGTCTAGCAAGGAACTCTGAATATAGATTATAAATTACACACATTTATGTGTATAGATTGTATGAAAAAAATACTAGTGTAGAACATGGTTTATACTGGTATTTTTATTGTCAGGATCAGTATAATTTAAGATGACAGTCCATGAGGGGATGTGATATTAAGTGAATTGGAATAGTCCCACATACAGTGATACTTAAATGTTGTAGGTAGTGATAAATCCTTTTCTGTAAACAAGTAAGTGTGGCAGTATTTTAAAAATTTATATACATATTTTAGAGTAGGGCACGTTCAGATGGTGAAATAATGCCAGTGTCCCATTACCACGTTAAGTTACTTGGCATCATTCTTTAAGATGCTAATGTTGCCTACGCAGCCAGCCAGTTCCTAGTGCGTAAATTGCTTGTCTTGAAATGGTTTCTGTGATAATTTTTACTGATTTATCAAAATCAGTATGGATTGTACATACTGATTTTATGTTTCTTGTGTTCACAGTTTTCTCCTCCCATCAATAAAACCATTCCCAGATTCATCCTTCTAAAAGCAATTTTTAAATTGCTTCTCCTCATTCATGAACCTTTTCAGAAATTTTTAATAGTTCCTGTTTAATCCACAGCTCTCATTGGTCATCTTTTTTTTTTTTAAGGATTTTATTTATTTGGCAGAGAGAGTGAGAGAGCACAAGCTAGGGGAGTGGCAGGCAGAGGGAGAGGGAGAAGCAGGCTTCCCACTGAGTAAGGAGCCCGATGCAGGACTAGATCCCAGGACCCTGGGATCATGACCTGAGCTGAAGGCAGACACTGAACCGACTGAGCCACCCAGGCGCCCCTCTCATTGGTCATCTTGAGCTCAGCATTCAGTACTCTTCATACTCTGATGACAGCTTCCCTTCTCTTCCACTGCTTTACCACACACATTGCCTTCTGTTTAACTGAGCTGGTTCCGTAAACAATCATTCATTTCCCTCTTCTACCTTTGCTTTAGTATTCCTCCTGCCTGAAAATCTTATTTCCTCTTCTCCTGTGGTGCTATCCCTTCTGTAAAGGACAGTCAGATTCAATTTACTTTATAAAGCCTACCTGGACTCTCTAGGCAGGAGTTTCTAGATTCTTTTATTACATTTATTATCCTATTTTCATTTTATTATGAATTACTATTTTTGCAAATGTAGTCTGCCGCTCCTTAGTGAAATTGTTAAGTTCCTTAAAGACAGAGCTTTTGGAGTTCTTCTGTCACTCTTTAATGCTTATTTTTATCTTTAGGTTTACCACTGCTCGTTCAGAGAACAATTGCAAGAACTATTGTGTTACAAGAAAGTATTGGCAAAGGTCGATTTGGAGAAGTTTGGCGAGGAAAGTGGAGAGGAGAAGAAGTTGCTGTTAAAATATTCTCCTCTAGAGAAGAGCGCTCATGGTTCCGTGAGGCAGAGATTTATCAGACCGTAATGTTACGTCATGAAAACATCTTGGGATTTATAGCAGCAGACAATAAAGGTCAGTAACATCTGCTTCTCCTTTGAGTATAATGAAACCTACTTGAGGCTTTCTACAAATACGGCTACTAAACATTGTCAGATTTGATGAGAGATAAATGTTTGTCCTACAGGTTAGACCCATTAAGTCAAAAAGAGTATGTTAGAAACCTTTACAAACAGGCACTTCTTTTTTTTTTTTAGAGATTTTTTATTTATTTGGCAGTGAGAGAGAGCACAAGCAGGGGGAGTGGCAGGCAGAGGGAGAGGGTGAGGGAGAAGCAGGCTCCCCGCTGAGCAGGGAGCCCAATGCGATGCGGGGCTCAGTCCCAGGACCCTGGGATCATGACCCGAGCCGAAGGCAGACGCTTAAAAAACAGGAACTTCTTAAAGATGTTCTTGACATGTTTCTAAATCTCTGTTTTATAAGATAAAAGAGCTATATTTAGATTTAAAAGTGATGTGCTTTTTTTGTTATTTTGGTCTTAGGCAGTTAGTAATTTGAGTATGGTCATAGCATAGAAAAAATAGAGTTTTATAAACTCTGGTTGCTCAAAATTTTGAGGTAAGTTAGAGCCCAGAGATATGTTTCCTTTAAATTTCTTTTGACCTAATGACTATTAGGGCATTCTAATGGATACTAATGACCTTATTTATAGGAAGAGTAGAAGTAACTTCTCAGTGTATTCTGTGTTTTAAGTTGGCAGGGGCTAAGTAATCTTTTAAATAAATAAACTTTTAAATCAACTCCATTAAATAGAGAAATAGTTTCTCCAGGACCACCGTGCCCATTGGTACCCAACCGTCTAGACGCTTTCTTGCCTGTGGTATGGGGGCCGGGGGCCCTGGCTCAGTCCGATGCTGCAGGAGAGTCAGTGGAGGGTCAGAACGCGCGCTGATGGGGAGCAGGGGCCTCACCGGGCTTCATCCGCTGGCGTGGCTTCGGCTCTTACTGTTATGCCCGTGGTTGCTGCTTTTGTAGCTTCATCAGAGACTCGTGTTCGAACTCTCATTGTCCCCGCCCGCAATCAGATGCATTTCCCAGCTTTCCTGTTTTTAAAAAATGCTATCATTTTCTCTTTGAGGTTGGCCAGAACCATGGTCCTCTTTTTCCTCCTCTCCCTTCCCATTTTCTTCAACAATATTTATTTCTTCAGAATACTGTTTAATGATTTTCCCTTTTGCTTTTCTGTATTTTCAGATTTATTCTCAGTATGCATTTATTGGGTTTTTTTTTTAGAGTTTATTTCTAGAAAATTTCCAATATATAGAAAAGTGGAGCGAGTAGAGTATAAAGAAACCTGTCACCCAGCTTCAACAGTGATTATTAGCTCATTGCCAATCGTATTTGATCTGATTCCGCCTACTCTGCCTCTGTCTGAATTATTTGAAGCCAAAGATATGATAATATATCTTTTTATCCATAAACCCCTTTCTTTTGTATCTTTAGATTAAGGAATCTTAATGCAGCGTGACCAAACTCTTGTTGTCAATTTTTATTTTATTTTTTTTAAAGATTTTATTTGTTTACTCATGAGAGACAGAGATAGAGAGAGAGAGAGAGGCAGAGGGAGAAGCACGCTCCCAAGGATCAGGGAGCCTGACGTGGGACTCGATCCCAGGACCCTGGGATCATGACCTGAGCCGAAGGCAGACGCTTAAGCATCTGAGCCACCCAGGCGTCCACCTCTTGTCAATTTTTAAAATGTCATCAGTATCCAGTCAGTTTCACATTTCTGCAGTTGTGTCTTCTTTTTTTTTTTTAAACAATCGGTTACTCACTTTAGGATATGAAGTCCACACATGGCATTTGGTTGATATTTATCTTAAATCCCTTAAAATTGCTTTGTTTCTCTTGTTTTTCTTCTTGCAGTTTCTTGAAGAAACTGGATTATTTGTCCTGTAGGGCTTATCACATTCTGGATTGTGTTGATTGAATTTCTGTAGTATCTCTGAACTTTCTCCTTGTATTTAAAAACTGGTAGTTAGGATGAGAGACTAAGTCTGAGTAATTGGATTGGTTTCCTGAAAATATTGTATGCCTTCCTATATATTGTATACTTTGTATTATATACTTGTATACAACATATTGTGTATTGTATATTATATATTGATATATATCACATTAAGAGCCATCTAATATTTGATTAGCTCTTTCTTTAAAGATTTTATTTGTTTATTTTAGAGAGAGAGAAAGAGCACAAGCGGCGGGGAGGAGCAGATGGGGAGGGAGAGAGAGGGGGAAAGGGAAAGAATCTCAAGCAGACTCCCCGCTGAACTCAGAGCTCCACCTGGGGCTTGATCTCAGAACCCTGAGATCATGACCTGAGCCAAAAAGGAAGGGTTGAATGCTTAACCGACTGAACCACCCAGGCGCCCCTTGATTATCTCTTTTTTGTGACTTAGGGCAGTGTTGGATGTCATGGCTGTAGGCAGTGATTTATCAATGGCTACTACCAATTCAGTATTACTTAATGTAAAAAGAAAACAAAAGCAGTGATCATAGTTTGACCAAGTCCTTAGTTTTCATTTTCTTCTGCCTTTGGCACCATTTAGCGCCCCCTCTAACTCTTAAAACAACCTTACAAACAATGTTCTGTGACTCTAGATTTTCTGTGTTTATTTCTTATTTCTTAGTAGTTGTGTTTGTTTTCTAAAACTCTTTTTACTGATTTGTATGAAGGCTCTAAGTCTACAAACAGTAATTGCTCCCTTGAAGGACTTAGCCACATGCATAGTTTCAAACTCAACTGTGATGGTTGCTTTTAAATCTCGTTTGGGGCTCAAACGGGACCCAGGCCCAGCATGTTTTAGAATATTCCAAGTTGCAAACACCCTGGCGCAAAATGCCCTTGCCTTTGTGCCCTGAACTTTCTTTTCCCATTTGCTCAGGCAGCAGCCAAGCTAAGCTGGTGCTGTCATCTGGTGGTCACCGTGGGAACTGGCTCACCCTCTTGGATCTTCCCTACTCTCTCTCTTTGTCAGGGGTTAATGGACTTTGCCCAGAATCTAGCCCATCCACTCTATTTCCCTTCTCCTTTATCTTTATCTTCCTGATATAGTTAATTCCACCTCAGACAACCCTTTATATTACACAGCCTCTTACATATCCTTCTTCTGCTTCTCTTGTTAATTACCTCAGAAAATCTCCCTTTCTTCCATCTGCCTGTGTTCCTCTTAATTTGTCAGCCTTTCAGAATTCAGTCATGATTAATAAGCATGCAGATAAAAATAGTGATGCATTTCTATCAGGGAAAAGAAAAGGTACAAGTTTGAATAGAATCAGTTTATAAAGTTTATGAAGAGTAAGCTTTGTTTATATATAAAGTTTGTAAAGAACTAGTGTCGTGAGTATCTAAATTGTTTTGAAAGTACCCAGAAATCCCCTCCCGAATCTTCTGAAAATACCTTTCTTAATCTCATCTAATCAGAGTTGCTTTCCTTCAAGTTCAACTTTCAAAATTATAGACTCTATTTTATGTCAGTTGGGGTGGGGTTTTGTTTGTTTGTTTGTTTGTTTGTTTTTACAACCAATAGGGAAGGAGACAGCCCATTTTAAATTCTTATGAGCCATGCATTCCGTTAAATGCTTAATCGGTTGTTCTGTTTTTTAACTCTTCTTAACAGTTTTGCAAAAGTAAGGTATTCTTGCTGTGTAAAAGAAGAAACAGAGCCTCATTGGTTAAGAAACTTATCTGAGGTCACATAGTCAATAATAACTAGGCCCTGGATTTCCCCCCAGGTCAGAATGACTCCAAATGTGTATCTTTTACTAAATTGTGCTGCTTCCTAGTGTATGGTTTTCTTGCTGCTCCTAGGTTAAATAGGCTTTTGTGGACCAGCCTAACCTAGAAGCCTAGCCAGAGTTTTTACCATGATTCCCATGGGAAAACACATTTCAAATCCATGTATTAGTTTACAAACAAATTTTTGGAATACATATTCCTAGTTGTCGAAGTTCAGAATCACCTTGTGTAAAACTGGGTTCAGCCCCAGCTTTTTTTCCTCCTGACATTTTAGTTTCTGTTCCAGCTTTACCATTTGTCAATGATACCACTATTTTTATATTTTTCTAAGCTGGAAACCTTGGAATAATAATTCTCTTATCTGGCTTCTTTGTGAACTGAATATATAGTCTGTGATTAAAGCTTGCATTTCTTCATTTAAGCTCACTTTCAGTTTTATCCTATACTATTCCATTCCTACTGTGGCTACACTAGGCTCCAGATACTTCTCATCTTCCACCCACTCCCCTTTCCCTTCCTCCTTCCAGAAACAACTACTGAGCTCCCCACCTGAACCAGACATTTTTCTAGCCACTCAGGAGTCCCAGCTCTGCTACCATCTTCTGTGTAGATTCGAAATCACCATCTTTGAACTATGATTCCTTATCTCTTAAATGGGATTAGTTATCCTTGCCTTATCTCAGGAATAGGGGGCTTAGGGGATCTAAAAGATATGTATGTAAAAGTATAAGACAAAGTGAAAATATGAAGGAAATAATATTCAAACCTAAGGTACTGTCGTCATGTTGCAGTTGTGGAATTCAGGATTGAGAGTAAAAAGTGGTAACTTCTGAATAGATAAATCGATGTTCTACAACCCATCTGAAACATTGTTATTCTACTCTACAGATAATGGCACATGGACTCAGCTCTGGTTGGTGTCAGATTATCATGAGCATGGATCCCTTTTTGATTATTTGAACAGATACACAGTTACTGTGGAAGGAATGATAAAACTTGCTTTGTCCACAGCAAGTGGACTTGCCCATCTCCACATGGAGATTGTTGGTACCCAAGGTAACTCAAAGTACTTATGTTATTTAAGCTTTAAATTCCCATGAATCTAATGTCTGTTAGAAAATTTTTTAAGAAGACAGCCTAAATAAAGATGTTTAAAATGCAGCTTTTAATTAAATTATTTTATCTTTCTGTTGAAAATCTCAGGTGGAGTTAGGAATATGGGAATTTGTTTAGAGATTCTCTAGTCATTGTAACAACACCGATATGTGAGTTCTTAAAAGTAGCATCTAGTCTTGTGATTTTTGAGGATCTCGACTTCAGAATTCAAGTCTGAAAGAATGTGTGTTTTTATGTGTCGTATCAAATGTAATGTGAAAAATGCTTTTTTAAAAATCAACATGCCACCTAATGTTATCTGGCCATCTAATAATTATATTTGACTCTGAGATAAGGAGACTGCATGAGACCATTTTGTAGTTGAAAAATTACATACTGAATTTTAGTTAGGAAATTGTTGTGGTATGATTTTTATGCCGTGTAGGATTGTCAGATGCCCGTCTGTCTCTACCCTGTAGTGATTATCCTCTTGCCACCTGGTGGCTCCCTCACTCCCCACTTTACCACACACATGCTCCTTCACATCTTGGTCTCCCTTATCTTTGTAGTTGTTACTGTTGTTGATAATAACAGTTGTTTTGCCTTATGATTCACATATCATACAATTCACCCATTTTAAGAGTACAGTTCAGTGGCTTTTAGTGTATTCACAGAGTTGTGCATCACCACGTCCATTTTAGAATGCTTTCATTGCTCCAAGAAGAAACACTGTGCCCATAGCAGTCACTCCCCATATCCTCCCAAACTCCTTAGTCCTGGGCAACCACTAATCTACTTTCTGCCTCTATAGATTTGCTTATTCTGGACATTTCCTTTAAATGGAATTGTATCATATGTGATCTTTTGTGGCTGGCTTCTTCTCTCTTGGCATGTCCTCAGGGTTCATCCATGTTATAGCATGTATCAGTACTTCATTCCTTTTTATGGCTGAGTAATATTCCATTGTTTGGATATACCACATTTGTCCATCAGTTGATGGACACTTGGGTTGTTTCCACTTTGGGCTTTTGTGAATAATGCTTCTATGAACATTGGTGTACGCTTTTTGTGTGTGTGTGGGGGGGTATATGTTTTCAGTTCTCTTATACAGTGGAATTACTAGATTATACAGCAACTAACGGTTTTGAGATGTTACCAGACTGCGATTCTTTTTCCAAAGTGGCTGCACCATTTTACATTCCTACCAGCAGTGTGGGAGGGCTCCAGGGGTTAGTATTTAAAGGTTGTAAATTTAATACTGACTACATTATAGTTGGTAGGTAAAGGAAGTGGTGTAGATGCTTGGTCCTTGGACTGAAATATCAGTCTGTGACAAGACCATAAATAATTCATAAGATGTCAACAAACAAACATCTTTAACCCCCCAGTCTTTGAGTTGTTAGACTTACAATTTGGGGGCACCATTTTTTGGAGCATCTTATTTTCTCTATTTTCTTTGAAGAAATGTAATTTTAGCAACTTTTGGTATAATGATTCACTTGAGGTTGTTTAGTAATTGTCCAGGTATTGTGGGTGATGTGAGCTGAAATGCTTTGACATTGGGATAGGAGTAGAGGCTTTGAACCTAAAGGGGAGAATTGTGATTGGTATCACCTTTTAAGCAATTGCGTTTACTTTTGGTTTCTTTAGGGAAACCAGCCATTGCTCATAGAGATTTGAAATCCAAGAATATCTTGGTAAAGAAGAATGGAACTTGCTGTATTGCAGACTTAGGACTGGCAGTGAGACACGACTCAGCCACAGATACGATTGATATTGCTCCAAACCACAGAGTGGGGACAAAAAGGTATGCTTGTGAAGAGTGTTTAATAGCTTCTGAAATCAGCTTCTTTTTCATTTCCTTCTCATTTTTATGTACACACCTTCTGAAACTCAAACCTGTACTTTATCAGATTGCCCACAGGTAGAAGATCTCATGGTCTTGCCTGCTCTGAAGCCAAGGTTACCTGACTTTTAAAGATGCCTGCTGATGAAAGGTGGCCCTTCCAGAAAATATTATCATTTGTTATATTAATTATAATAACAATAGTAGCTGATGTTTACAGGGTGCCCAGTATGTGCCAATCATTTTAATGTGTCATATATATATACACACACACACACACACACACACAATCTCAGTTAATGCTCTCTTCAAATGCTATACTGTAGCTAGCCCAACTATTTTCTGATTTTTAGTTCCTGGAAATACACCTTTCTTTCTCCCTTAGAATTTCTGCATATACTGTACCCTAGAGCAGACTTTGCCCTGCTGTTTCCCTGACTTGTACTCACCCTTCCTTTCTCAGAGGAAGCCCTTTCCGGACTGAGGTACCCTTACCAAGGGCTCTCATAGCAGGCTGAACCTGGACCATTAGGGCACTTAGCACATTATAACTCTCCATTTATTTGTCTGTATGTTCCATTGGATTGCAAGCTGCTTGAGAGCAGCCTTGTGTTTGTTGAATCCACAAGTTTTCTAAAGAACATGACTAAGTGGGTGACGTTGTCCTCATTTCACAGATGAGGAAACAGCCCCGTGGAAGGCAAGTCACGGGGTCAGCCTCATGCACATGGTAACCTGAAGAGTGGAGATTCGAACCTCGGCCTTTCTGACCCAAAAGGCCTTACTCTGTGTATTATCACAGCATGTTGCCACAGCATATCTCCACATTACTGCCTCGGCCTCGGATAGAGCCAGGCTTCATTCTATCTCAGTGGTGTTTATGATTTCTGGATTCAGCAAGGACTCTCGGAACTCTTGACTTAGGCGCCCAGGACAGTGGTCGCTGCAGGTCTTCATGAATCCTGATGTATAACTTTAGTAGGGTTTTTAAAACTTCAGAACCCTACAACGTGGCATCAGTAGGAGGACTGGCATTCATTTTTTATCTATTATTTTGTTCCCTGGATTATGTCCTCATCCTTTCATCCTGTTTTAGTGAGAAGACTTCTAGATTAAAATATGTGGTCCCCACATAGTACTTGACAAAGTAGGCGGTGTGTTAAGACATTCTTAATAGCCATGATTGTTACATGTGTCTTTCACTGGAAGCTAAGATCATAAGGCAGATAGCGTGAAATTGCTGTTTTAGCTTTTCACGGCATTTAGTTGACATCATTAATTTTCAAATCAGTTTGGATATTTAATATTTTTCTTGAGTTTAATATGATCTCAGTTATATAATATTGAATATATATGTCTATATATGTATAGTGATATCTGAAAGAATGTTGATCAAAGTGTTAACACTGGGTGGTAGTAATGGAATGAGTTTTCACTTTGTACTTTATGAACTTTGGGAAAATTTTTATAAGAAGTATGAGTCATTTTAAAAAGTAGCAGAACCATGCTGAAAGGGGAGAAAAGTCTTAAAGTTAATACCGATTTTTAAAAAAATTCTCAGGAAAAAAAATATATGAAACAGTTCAAAAGTAAAGTGACCACCATTCCATAAAGTAAATTGCTGGCTTCTTTTTTAGGTACATGGCCCCTGAAGTTCTAGATGATTCCATAAATATGAAACACTTTGAATCCTTCAAACGTGCCGACATCTATGCAATGGGCTTAGTATTCTGGGAAATAGCTCGACGATGTTCCATTGGTGGTAAATTTCTCCCCCTCCCCCAACAGTTTATTACGAACAGAAGCTGTTCCTGGATAGCCTTTTTTTTTTTTTAATTGAATGAAATTATACACATCAGCGGTCTAAAATTATGTTCACCAGGTGATCACTGACAGTGCCAAAGAAAATAAAGGAGATAAAACCTGCAGTAAGGGGAAATGACATGACATGCTTATTTTAGTGTATTCTTTTTCTATTTCCATTTGAATCTTGGGAAGCATCAGAAACCAAGCCCTTGTTATCTTGGAATATAGTTATTTAGAATGGATGACTACTTGAGAGGCCACCCAGGAAGCTGTTTCTAGCATGTACCTGGGTCAAACTACCCCCCCCCGCCCCCCGCCAAGAGTGTGGTTATTTTGTCTAACTTCTTAGCTGGAAGTTATATATACAGAATACAATTACATTGCCATTATACTACTTTTTTTTTTTTTTTAAAGATTTTATTTATTTATTTGAGAGAAAGCACATGAGATGGGGGGAGGGTCAGAGGGAGAAGCAGACTCCCTGCTGAGCAGGGAGCCCGATGCGGGACTCGATCCAGGGACTCCAGGATCATGACCTGAGCTGAAGGCAGTCGCTTAACCAACTGAGCCACCCAGGCGCCCCATCCATTATACCACTTTTTAAACTAAGTTTATTTTAAGTTAATTTTAGATTGAGCACTTTGGATATTTACTTGAGCAATAGTTTCTCATCCTTGGTGGCCCAGGCTTGGTTGAGACTAGGGTCTCAGGTTTATGTGGCAGTAACAGGGAGAGTGTGTCTCTGTATTGTAGCAAAGAGGACAGATCCAAGTAGAGGTAAAGGACTTGCACCTCAGATTTGCCTGTAGGATTTACATCTCTATGGTAGAGTGTATATCCCTATACCAAGGCTGAGCACTCACAGAATAAAAACTCTCATTTCTTGCACATGAGGGTTCTTCGGGAAAATATCAATCAGGTCATTACAGCTCATAGTTAACCATCATTAAAATAGCCTTTGCTGATCCCATAGTGATATTTAGTTTCAAGGTGTGGGCCCAGTACCAACTCAGAGAGATGGGTTGTTGATGCAGATGTAGATGAGATAGAGCAAGCTAGAAGCCCTGTTCCACTTCGCTAATTAATTAATGGAACCCTGAAATAGGACTCTTGGGTCTTCCTGGACAAAGAATGGTCTGGCATTATCTGAGTAAATTCTTCAAAAAATATATTTTTTTTAACCAATATAGGAATCCATGAAGATTACCAGCTGCCTTATTATGATCTTGTACCTTCTGATCCATCAGTTGAAGAAATGAGAAAAGTTGTTTGTGAACAGAAGTTAAGGCCAAATATTCCAAACAGATGGCAGAGTTGTGAAGTGAGTATTTATTTTGGATACTACACAATTTTCTAAACTGTTTCTGCTTGGTATGTGGAAATATGCTACTTTTCTTTAAGGAAAATAGACACAGGAATTTTCTTTTCTTTTCTTTTTTTTTTCTTCTTTTTCTTTTTCTTTTTTTTTTTTTACCCCATGGCAGTTAAACCAGTGAAAGAAAAACAGAGTAATTTGGTTTTCATGTTTAATCTCAAGGACATCAAAAGGGCCATGGAGCATTTGCAGTGGCCATCAATGTCTCAGAATAGTATTTAAATCTACCAGTGAACCAAGGCACCTGCATTTTCATTTTATCTGTCTTTTACATGGAATGTTCATTCCATTTACATTTAATGCACTTATCAGTATGGACGGGTTTAAGTTCACCATCTTTTTTTTTTTTTTTTTAAATAAGTGCACTCTTTAATCCCCATCACCTATTTAACCCATCCCCCCCATGCATCTCCCCTTTGGTAATCATCAGTTTGTTCTCTGTAGTTATGAGTCTGTTTCTTGGTTTGTGTGTGTCTCTCTCTCGCTCTTAACTTTTTTTCTTTGCTCGTTTGTTTTGTTTCTTAAATTCCACATATGAGTGAGATCATATGGTATTTGTCTTTCTCTGACTGACTGACTTCACTTAGCATTTTACCCTCAAGCTCCATGCATGTTGTTGCCAATGGCAAGATTTCATTTTTTTTTTTTTTATGGCCACTATTCCATTGTATATATAGCACATCTTCTTTATCTATTCATCTATCAGTGGACACGGTTGCTTCCATAGTTTGGCTATTGTAAAATAATGCTGCAGCGAACACAGGGGTGCATGTAACCCTTTCAGTGTTTTTGTATTTGGGGGGGTAAATCCCCAGTAGTGTGATTCCTGGTTCATAGGGTAGTTCTCTTAATTTTTTGAGGAACCTCCATACTATTTTCCACAATGGCTGCACCAGTTTGCATTCCCACCGAGAATGCAAGAGGGTTCTTTTTTCTTCACATCCTTGCCAACACTTGTTGTTTCTTGTGTTTTTGATTTTAGCCATTCTGACAGGTGTGAGGTGATATCTCATTGTAGTTTTGATTTGCATTTCCCTGATGATGCACGATGTTGAGCATCTTTTCATGTGTCTGTAGGCCATCTGGATGTCTTCTTTGAAGAAATATCTGTTCATGTCTTCTGCCCATTTTTTAATTGGATTCTTTGTTTTTTGGGTATTGAGTTATATCAGTTCTTTATATATTTTGGATACTAACCCTTTATCAGAGATGTCATTTAAAAATATCTTCTCTGGGTGCCTGGGTGGTGCAGTTCAGTTAAGCATCCGGCTCTTGGTTTCAGCTCAGTCATGATCTCAGCGTGGTGAGATGGAGCCCCCTGTCGAGCTCTGCACTCAGCGCGGAGTCTGCTGAAGACTCTCTGCTCCCTCTGCCCCTTCCCCCACTCTCTTCTCTCTTTCTCTCTCACTCTAAAATAAATAAATTAATTAAAAAAAAAATCTCCCATTCAGTAGGTTGTTTTTAGTTTTGTTGATTGTTTATTTTGCTGTGCAGAAGCTTTTTATTTTGATGTAGTCCCAATAGTTCATTTTTGCTTTTATTTCCCTTGCCTCGGGAGACATATCTAGAAAAATGTTGCTACAGCTAATGTCAGAGAAATTATTGCCTGTGCTCTCTTCAAGGATTTTTATGGTTTCAGGTCTCACATTTAGGTTTTTAATCCATTATGAGTTTATTTTTGTGTGTGGTGTAAGAAAGTGTTCCGGTTTTGCTCTTTTGCATGTAGCTGTCAAGGTTTCCCAATACCATTTGTTGAAGAGACTTTTATCTTTGTATATGCATTCCTCCATTGTCAAAGATTAATTGACCATATAATTGTGGGTTCATTTCTGGGTTTTCTGTCCAATTCCATTGATTTCTGTGTCTATTTTTATGCCAGTATTATACTGTTTTAATTACTACAGCTTTGTAATATAACAGTCTGGAGTTGTGAGACCTCCAGTTTTGTTGTTTTGTTTTTCTAAGATTGCTTTGGTTCTTTTTGTGGTTCCATACAAATTTTAGGATTGTTTAAGTTCTATGAAAAATGCTGCTGGTATTTTGATAGGGATTGCTTTAAATGTGTAGATTGCTTTGGGTAGTATAACAATATTTGTTCTTCTAACCCATGAGCATAGAATGTCTTTCCATTTCTTTCATCATCTTGAACTTCTTTCATCAGTGTTTTATAGTTTCCAGAGTACAGGTCTTTTACCTCTTTGGTTAAGTTTATTCCTAGGTACTTTGTTGTTTTGGGTACAATTGTAAATGGGATTGTTTTCTTAATTTCACTTTTGCTGTTTCATTATTACTGTGTAGGAATGCAACAGATTTCTGTACGTTGATTTTGTATCCTGCGACTTTACTGAATTCATTTATCAGTTCCAGTAGTTTTTTTGGTGGAGTCTTTAGGGTTTTCTATATATAGTATCATGTCCTCTGCAAATAGAGGTCACCTACATTTTATTATTTTTAAAGATTTTATGTATTTATTTGACAGAGAGACACAGTGAGAGAGGGAACACAAGCAGGGGGAGTGGGAGAGGATGAAGCAGGCTTCCCGCTGAGCAGAGAGCCCGATGTGGGGCTCGATCCCAGGACCCTGGGATCATGACCTGAGCCGAAGGTAGACGCCTAATGACTGAGCCACCCAGGCGCCCCCACCTGCATTTTAAATGAATGCGTCCTTTTGATCAGGGCAGCCCAGAACAGTAGGATGGATCTGGATGGAAATTAGGAAGCCTGGATTCTAGAACAGCCTGGCCACCATTTCAGAGTTTGACTTTGGGCAAATCATTTCAGTTTTCCAGACCCTAACATGCCTTTTATTTATTTATTTTTTAATTTTTTATTGTTATGTTAATCACCATACATTATATCATTAGTTTTTGATGTAGTGTTCCATGATTCATTGTTTGCGTATAACACCCAGTGCTCCATTCAGTACGTGCCCTCTTTAATACCCATCACCAGGCGAACCCATCCCCCCACCCTCTAACGTGCCTTTTAAAAGGAGGAAGTTGGATAAGGTGATGGGGAGGATGGTTCTGATGATTTGACATCTTACTCATCTCATTGCCTGTGTGACCATTCACCAGGAATGTAGGGAAAATGCTTTCCAGCAGTGTCTGAGATTCTCAACCCCAGCTCTTACAAAAACTTTAGAAATATTTTTGTACTTGTAAATTTAAAGAATTCCTAAGACAAATTTTATTTAATCTATATGTAATTGCTAGCTGTCACTGTTACAATATTGGCAAGGCATAGCATTTTCCTCCAGGTGTGAAGTTTTATAGCTGAAGAGGAATAAAAAGCTAGTGACTTAAGTAGTTGATTTTACATATCAAAATAATGTAGAACTCGGGGCGCCTGGGCGGCTCAGTCCTTAAGCGTCTGCTTTCCACTCAGGTCATGATCCCAGGGTCCTGAGATCAAGCCCCACATCAGGCTCCCTGCTCCACGGGAAGCCTGCTTCTCCCTCTCCCACTCTCCTTGCTTGTGTTCCCTCTCTCGCTGTGTCTCTCTCTGTCAAATAAATAAAATCTTTAAAAAATAATAATAATGTAGGACTCAATGGTCAAGACACTGAGAGAGCTCCTTAGCTACCTCCCAACAAAATCAAGTGTCCAGGCCCAGATAAAAATACGTCTTAGCATACTCAGAGAATTTGCATGTTTAACAAATGAAATTGGGCTAGATTTTGTCTTTTACAAATTTGATCTTGATACTGCAAAGTGCAAACTCGAAGTATTCATGTATTCATTAAATAAGTAGAGTGCATTATTAAACAGATGGCTTTTTAAGCATGAGGAAAAGTTAACAGAAAACATTAAGAGTACACATGCAATTTGCAGTTACTGTCACATCGTGCTGAATTAATGCCATTGCTGTCATTTTTGTTTTTTCTCCATTTGGTTAGTTTTCTATTTCACTTTACACTAATTCAGTCTTTCGCTTTTCTGGGGTTTATAAATCTCTCAATAGTTGAAACACATTAAGAACATGAAACTGATAGAATAACTAAGAAGTATCTTCCAGAACCTTCTGAGCTTTTCCAGTCTGGACTTGTAGCTACCTAGGCTGACTGAGCAGCTTTCATCTTGGGAGATCCCTCACCTTTTGTCCCGGGATTCTCTTTGCCTCTGTTACAGTGACTCTTCCTTCCTGGACCCCATGACTTCCTGTTTCTTGGTTTATTCGACTCCCGCCATCTTTTAAGTCTCTGCTCAGATGTTTCCTTATTAGTAGACGTGATACCCCTTTAAAATATCACCTTCTTTCCCTGGCATATTGTATCTCCTTCCCTAAATGATGTTTCTCCTTAGCACTTACTGACAGTCCATGTATTTCACTTGTTTATTAACGATATGCTTTGGCTCCCTAGAACGTGAGCTTTATCAGGATAGGGATTTTGTCTGTTCTCTTTTGTATCCCCAGTACCTAGGATGGATTCTGGTAAATGGTAGGCTCTCCATAAATTTATAATTTTGTAGAATTGAGTATATGTATGAGTTGGGCATTTGGTCATTTTTATATGGAAACCAGTGTTCATTTCTAGGAAATGTCCCTGAAGTATTTCTTTGATTTGTTCCTTTCTGTTTTCCTCTGTTCTGTTTTTTCCACTCTAGTTTTGAATGTTAGACCCCTTAAGAGGCCTTCTCATTTTCTTATCTTTTCCCTCTTATCCATCCTTGATTTTTTTCTAAACTTTCTGCAAGGTTTATCACCTTGTTATCTTTTTTTATCAGGTTTATTTTCCAATTCTTTTGTCACGTTTTTCCAAAGTCAAACAAGAAGCAGGAAACTGTCAGTGATGAATATGAGTATTTTCTTTATCTCTTTGAGGATATTAATAATAAATTATTGATATTTTCTTCTCTGTACAACTGTTTTGTCCAAGTTACTTTGGTCTGTTTGTATCAGCTTCTGCCTTCATACTGCTTTCTCTGATGTCTGATCAAACTCCTATTCTCTCTCTCTTTTTTTTAATTAACATATAATGTATTATTTGTTTCAAGGGTACAGGTCTGTGATTCATCAGTGTTACACAATTCACAGCTCTCACCGTAGCCCATAAACTCCTATTCTCTTCATGTTTAAAGGCAGGACACTGGAAGCTGATGGAAGCTTTATGCATATGAACAGCACTTACCCACTGTGACCTTTAAGGTGACCTAACTGGGTTGCTTCCATCAGTTGTTGGGAGCCACTGATATGTCGGTATCTTCAGGTCTTTCCTCTTGGGCTCACATTTCCCAGAGAAGACTCTTCCAGTCTCTTGCCTGGAGGAGTATCTACAGGTTGCTGCCTGTGTTTTAGGGAGAAAACCTGTGGTCTTCTCATTTAGTGAGTTGTCAGTATGGAACTTTGCCCCCATGTTCCCCAAGTCAGAAATCTCTGTTTTACCCTCCCAGATACAACCTCTAATCTTTTGCTGGGGTGAGAGTGGGGCAGTCACCCAACTGTGTGAAGCTCGGGGAGGGGCAGGTATCTGGGGTTCCAGCTCTTTTGGCCAATCCTCATGTTTTTAGCTTGAACTTCACATCAGAGGAACTCAATGCAGTTAATTCCTTGGTTCTAGGGAGTTTCTATGTGAGTCAGGTTCCTTTTTTGCCTTGACAGCTCTGGTTTAGGATTCAGCTTTTTCAGGTCTGCTAAGTAAGTTGGCCCTCATCCATCTGCTTTCCAGCTGCTGATACCAGTACCCCACTGATGGGAATTGAAGTCATTTCTATTTATTTGCTATTACAAATAATGCGGAAATAAAACAATTGAACATATGTCACTTGGAAAGAAGATGTGCAGAATAAAGATCTTATTCAGATGAATGGAAAGCACTCATTGGCACTCATTAATTATTTTTCTTCTATTTTTTTTGCAGGCCTTGAGAGTAATGGCTAAAATTATGAGAGAATGTTGGTATGCCAACGGAGCAGCGAGGCTTACAGCTTTGCGTATTAAGAAAACATTGTCACAACTCAGTCAACAGGAAGGCATCAAAATGTAGTTCTTCAGCTTTGCCTGAACTCTGCTTTTCCTTCAGATCTGCTCCTGGGTTTTAATTTGGGAGGTCAATTGTTCTACCTCACTGAGAGGGAATAGAAGGATATTGCTTCCTTTTGCAACAGTGTAATAAGGTCATCGAGAAACTCCCCAGGATTTCTTTGGACCCAGGAAACAGCCGTGTGGGTCCTTTCTGTGCACTATGAACACTTCTTTCCCAGGACAGTTACAAAATGTTGTGTAGTCTACCTTTATTTTTTATTAACACAAAACTTGGTTTTTTGTTTTGTTTTTTTTTAAAGATGATTGCTGGTCTTACCTTTAGGTTAACTCTGCTGTGCTGAAGATCATCTTTAAGGGTAAAGGAGCTGGATTGTTGAGTTATACAAAACGTTTCTTATTTTTAAAGAAAGTGATTTATTCCTGGTTAGTACATTCTCAGAGGATTCTGAACCACTAAAGAGTTTCCTTGATTCAGACTTTGAATGTACTGTTCTATAATTTTCAGGATCTTAAAACTAACACTTATAAAACTCTTATCTTGAGTCTAAAAATGACCTCATATAGTTGTGAGGAACATAATTTATGCAATTGTATTTTGTATACTATTACTGTTCTTTCACATATTCAGAACATTACATGCCTTCAAAATGGGATTGTACTATACCAGTAAGTGCCGCTTCTGTGTCTTTCTAACGCTTACAGTCTGTGTGTCTTAAAAGCTGTAGTATTTTAATTCAAAAAATTTATTTATCTGGGTAACCCAGACTTTCCTGTTTTGTTTATTGGAAGGTTTTTTGTAGTATGTCATTTGGTATTCCATTTTGAAAATGCCTTTCTCCTACCAAAATGTGCTTAAACCACTGAAGAAATGAAGTGGCATTAATTGATAAATGTTATGGTCATTTTTTAATATTCTTACATCAAGCTTTTGCATCTAAATTGTGTTGTCTAAGTATACCTTAAAAAAATCCAAGTGGCACTGTAGATGCTTATAGTACTCTAATAATTTAAAACTTGTAGCATACAGACTAATTTTTCTAAAAGGGTAAATTTGTCTAGCTGCTTGTGAAAAGTTGTGTGGCATTCTGTAAGCCATTTTTTTTCTTTATCTGATCAAAGACAGTGTTATTTTTTTAAGAAATGAATTACATTTAAAATTAGGGTGTGTTAATGTTAAGTAATAGGCCTTTTTCTAGGAAGGTAAAGGTAGTTAATCATTTGAGTAGGTAACGGGTGTGCAGGAGAGTTACAGTTGTTATGTAGGAGTCAGTATTCGGTGGACTTTCTGTCTTTGTAACTAAGGTTAGAGTTAGCGTGGTTCTGAGGTCTCACTACACTTTGAAGAAGGCAGCTTCTAATTCAGTCTTTTCTTCTGTGTGCAGATACTGCAACTGCTTAATTTACATGGTTAGGTAATAAGTTTAGTACACCCTTGATATTTGGGAGAGTGGTAGCTAAAGAACATTCTGAAATTTGGTTCTCCGTTTACAGATGTTTTCAGTCAAATTCTATGTTTAAAGCAAACTTGTCATGATCTTCACACTAAGTTGAAACTGGCGTATAGTAACTGATTTTTACTTCCAGTGCTAAAAGTCTTTTAGGGCTTTTACGGTTTTCAGAGTTCTCTTTATCACTGTGATCTTATTCTGATGGGAGAAAAACTATCATAGCAATGAGGCAAGACATTGACTTTATAGTGCTATCAATTTCCAAATGAAAGGGTCAGAATAACCTTTATAGTATTTGGTCAGTAAGAGATAGTGGCCATTTACGCTGACTGAGCTGCATTCTGATCATCTCTTTTCTCTTATACATAGAATAAATTTGAAAGACTATTTGGTCTTAAAGCCAAAGTAATTTTAGAATGAATGACATATGCATAGGAATTTAGTGTCAGTTTCATGTGTTTAAAAACATCATGGGGAAAAATGTGCTTAGAGGTTAATATTTTGACTCCAAATTTGAGTTTTTTTCTGTAGTTACCATGATTTTGTCAAAGCAAATGAATGACAAACGTTGAGGGCTTTGTTTTTATAATTATATTTCCTGTTTAGTAATCTCTAGCTCTCTGATTAGGTACTTCTTTTTTTCTTGGCCATTTCTACGCCTACCAGATCTGCTTTATGAAATCCAGGGGACCAATGCTAAAACTATTTTTATATAATTTTAAGAACATACCAAAAGTTCTTGTCTGATTTAAAATTGAGATACATGATTTCTCACTTTCATATAAGGTAATCAACTTTTACTGAAAATATTCTTTATTAAATCAAAGATTGAGTTGCAATTATACTATTCTTGCCTAAGTGGATAAAATGTACTTTTGGTGAGTCAGGGAATTTTTTTAAAAGTTGGAGTTTAGTTCTAAATTCGGTTTACATATTACTGCAGCAAATTCCTTTTCTGGCTAATGACAGTTTGATAAACTCCGATTAGTTGATATTGAAAATGAAAGTCACTTAAAAATGAAATAGATCATGATTACTGTGGCCATAACTGCAGATACGTTTGACTAGAGTATTGATTTTCTCATTTAGATACACAAGCCTTTGTTTATACTGCCTGTCTTCAGATGCTCACCTTCCAAAATTAAACTTGGTTTAAAATATACCTTCAGACCAATTACTTGTCCACATCCATTTCGTCAGTACCCCGGAGGAGTGGGGATGAGGGAGGTATGACCCAGTGGGGCACAGGTATCCCTGGCCCGCCCTTCCTAACTTCACTTTCTCTCAACCTGCCTTCTTGCTGGTCCCTGACTTAGAGATGAATTGCCTTGCCACCACCCTTCCTCGCCCACCTCCCCTCAGCAGCCTTTTGACTGAATAGCTGCTTTGGAAATCTAGAGTAAAATGGTTGACGGAAATGTGGGACATGCTTCCATTTCCTTGAGTCACTGAATGTTGCTGGGAGGGTTCTCCAGGTTTGGAGATGGGGTGGATGATGGCCCTGCTGGCTGCCTTGTTGTGACTTCAGCTGTGGCCAAGGAGTGGGAAGGCAGCGAGGTAGCAGTCATGGCAGCAGGAGCTGTGCTAGAAGCAGCGGCACATCGGGTCCTCTAGGGGACAGGGTGAGGTCCGAAGCCCGGAGTCTGTAAGTCTGCTGTAGTGATAGTCCTCAAGAAGTGCCTTGAGTCCGTGCACAGTGACATGGTTAGTAACATCAAGAATTCCACATTTCAGTTCTTGTTACAAAATTACAGTGGTCACTTGGCCATTTTGCAGCTCATGCACGAGCTACCTTCAGTTCCCCCTCTACATCTGAGAGCTGTCCCGTATAGAATATTTTGTAAAACAAGATGGCATAGTGCTAATTAAAATGCAGAACAAAATCAGTATCCCCTTAGACATGTCCTATCAAGAGTTTATTTTTATCCTTGCACTGAAAGAGTGATTGTTAAGTCAGCTGTTTCTTTTTGTTTCTTGACTGTGGCAGTGTTCTGGCTCCAAATGATGGAGATTCCAAATAATGGTTCTGTTACAGCATGGCAGGAAATGCCAGTTCAGATATTTTTGAGATCCTAAAGAATAGGTCTGCACATGTAATCTGTAGCTCCTTGTGTCTGTTTTGGAATGCTGGACTACCCATGGGCCCTCTCTCTAGGAATGCTGGAATTCTAAGACATTCTGAGGATTGTCAGTACACTTAAACTTTTCAACACCATTATGCAATATTATTTGTAATTGTAGACTTTAAAGAATGTGTTTAATAACATTCAACCTGTTTCTTAAAAGCTTAAAAAAGAACTTAAGTGAATTTGTTTTTATTTTTTAACGAGATTTGTGAATTGAATATCATGAACCATGTTTTGATATCCCTTTTTCACATTGTGCCAATGGAATGGGGTGTTTGATATTTCTTTATATGTCAAGGAGATGCTTCAAAATGTCAATTGCTTTAAACTTAAATTACCTCTCAAGAGACCAAGGTACATTTACCTCATTGTATATATAATGTTTAATATTTGTCAGAGCATTCTCCAGGTTTGCAGTTTTATTTCTATGAAGTATGAGTGTTATGTTGCTAAATTACTGAAATGGTACTGTATTGTTTATATTTGTACCCCAAATAACATCTTCTATAGTTTTTATTTTCTGTATTTTATTGTATTTGTGCAAAATTCTTTTGGCTTTATCAGTGTGATCTCTGCCCTTTCAGATGTGTACAGAAAATGTCCATATAAATTTTCATTTAAGTTGAATGATTTTGAGAAAACTGTAAAGAGGAAAGAAAAACAAAAACTGCAGTTCCCCATAAGTTTTTAAAAGTTGTATATTGTATTTGTAGTAATATTCTGAATGAGTTGTAAATAGGAAGTAGAAGAGCGATGCTTATGTCAAGTCCTAACACTACAGTAGAAAAATGGAAGCAATGCAAATAAATGACTTTTTTTCCCAAGTGCTAGTGGCATAATTTAAAATAAAGTGTGTATATTGGACCGAGCCATGCTGTTATGAAATGTAGTTGCTGTGGATATTAGAATTTTTGGATTATTCCCCAGTACAAGTTACATCGTAACGTGGTTGAGAAGTGCCCACCTGCCCCAAGGTGCCTCCATGGGTGTGGTAGCTTCTTCCCACATGTGCAGGAGTTGCTGATCTGACAGTGGACGGGATAGGACCTTCCTCCCTGTGAACTATGTTGCCTCTTGCTCAGCAGATTTGCTAAGGTTGTGTTAAAGTGATGTCATTATTTTGATTCTCAAAGTTTTGCAGTTATTTTCAAAGGAAATTTAGCGTGTTTTCATCTTTCCTAATTGAAGGATTTGTGAGAATTGGCATAATTTGTAGAAATAGGCTTGGCTTTTTTTTTTTTTTAAGTAGATTTGAACAGTTAGTATGCTGGGAGTGGAAATTCGGCTCATGAGAAAACAGCAGATAGTGGATGAGGAGATGTGGGCCCCAGAAGAGTTGGGAGTGGTTTTGTGGAATGGCTTGCTCTTGAATTACAGATTGTCACTTCAATTCAAAGACTGGCTTTAGGGATTTTTTTTCTTTCTCCATAATAAAGAAGACACATCACTAGGATGTAAAGCTTTTGTTGAAAGATGGAAAAAAGTAGAATTATTTTTAAAACATAGATTCAGAGAAACAACAGAACCAGCTTTATATTGGTCTCTTCTAACTTAGAAAAAATGTTTTTACATAGTGGTCTCATGGACATATCTTGCAACTCTGCACTTTTTTTTGTTTGTTTTACAGTTGAAGATTTACAAAACAATGGGGCTATTCTGAAAGATGAGTAGAAAAACTTGATGTTATAAAATCTAAGGCTCAGTCATGCATGGTTCAGCCATGCATAATTTTTAAGAATTGGGAAAGAAATAATACTAAATCATTACGGAAATAAAGGAGTTTTTATGAGCGCTAAAGAGAAATGGAAAAGGTAAGAAACTTAACTTTTCTGTTAGAAAGAATAGAATTATAAAGGGGGATTGGCCACTTAAGTATTTCAAAGGGGAAAGAATCCACTGAGAGAGGTAAGAAAAATCGGAAGTAAAGGGGCGTATTGGTGTAGACCAATAATAAAATGTGCACATACTGTGGTAGGCAGCACGAAAACACTTGGGATCTTAATATTGTAGTAGATGGTGTACAGGGAGGTCTGGTTCTTTGTTTGAAGGAAGATGTGATTAAGAAACTATTTGGTAGTGTTAGTCATTTTTATTTTTTTAAAAGATTTATTTTAGTATGTGCACGAGTGGGGGGAGGAGCAGAGGGAGAGAATCTT